TCATATGTTTTGAAGCAATGAAAGTGGGATTTTCGGAGGGATATAGGCCTCTCATTGGATTGGATGGATGCTTCCTGAAGGGCCCTTTTGGAGGATGTTTACTGAGTGTTGTTACACTAGTTGGGAATAAGGGAGTGTTCCCACTAGCTTTTGCAATTGTTCAAAATGAATGCACTGCAACATGGACCTTTTTCCTTGACTGTCTTAGACAATGCATTGGATTATTGGTGACCTCTTTGAAGGCCTTCCTGTTAAACATGCTTGCATTGCAGCTTGGAATAATGAGACTCAATCTGAAGACTTTTGTCACGAGTATTCACAGTAGAGAAGATGTAAAGGCCTACAAAGGAGAGAGTCTCATCCAGATTCCAAATTACACACATCCACCACAAACTGACTTTCCAATTCCTAAAAGTCTCCAACCCGTCGATATATACAGAGAAGCCTGCAGCCAAGGAGAAAGGAGAAAACTTCCAAGGAGGAAGAAAGCTTCCATCCTAAGCACAGGCGAGCGTAAGATCTTGCAACCATTAGGTGTGGGTGACAATGCAGTACTATGGCCACTAATAAGAGAACATAGCAGAGCACCCCACTAGCCATATCATCAGGTCGAGTTCACATTTTGCGTAAATCCGTCAATAATACTGCTAATGATGTTTATAGTATGTGGAGTACTGACTTACAGTAACCATTTGTTTTATTTAGAGGAACAAACAACAAAGAGGAGGAAAAAATTCATCTGGATCTGATGCTATTGTGGAAAGAGGTGCTGCTGTTGCTATGGGAAGAGGTGTTATTGCAATAAGAGGGAGAGGTGTTACTGCAACAAGAGATAGAGGTGCTTCTGCTTTGAGAGGGAGAGATGCTTTTGGTTTGAGAGGGAGAGGTCCTTCTGGTTTGAGAGGGAGAGGAGCTTCTGGTTTGAGAGGGAGAGGAGCTTCTGGTTTGAGAGGGAAAGGAGCTTCTGGTTTGAGAGGGAGAGGACATCCTATATCGTGAATATATATATTTTGCTCTGTGTTAAGAATGATAGCAGATTTGGTTTTTTGGTTCAAAATAGCAGATTTGGGTTTTTTTGGTTCCAAACGTTGAAGATGGTTTTTTGTGAACTAGATTGATGCAGATGTTCTTTTGGGTTTTGTTGAGCGTCACGTTTTGCACAAAATGGTATTTTTGGGGCTTCAAGTCCTGTGGCAGGATATCGGATATCCTGCTTATGGTCATTTTGGTGTAAAGAGGGTGCTGCTGAGCTGACAACAGATTGCAAGTTAGGGAGAACAAGGAATCTTTTGAATTCCCTAGCACGCCACAGGAACAAATGTGTAACTTTTTTGTTTCCGATTGTTCATGTTCTTTTTCTGCGACAACAACATTTAGCGTTGACAGCAAACACGCAAGTGTGGACCAAGTTTGATTTGAGTAGGGTTTTTGTGATGCACATTATGTAAATATGTTGTTTTTCTCTTTTGTGAATTGTAAACATTTGACTAATGACAATGACACTATTTGTAACCACTCTTCTGCATGAGAGCCAAGTTTGAATTAATAGTTTTGCTTTGCAGTTGCTATACTTAAGCAAAAGTACACATTTCATTGCAGAACGTATATTACATTCAAGTCATCTTCAAATTGACTGTGCCTAACTGAGCTACTAACATTCAACAACTAACCCACCACATTAACACAGCCAACTACAAAAACAACATAAACTACAAAAAACTAACCAAACTACCCTAAATACATCCTTAAGATACATAATAAAAAAAAGAAAATTTATTATTCACAATAACTCTGTTACCGTTGACAAGCACATTACAGAGTAAGGTGGATAAAGCATCATGATAGCCATCAAAGCATATGACAAATCAACTTCTTCAAAGCTGGCCAATCTCCGACTCCAAGCAACTCCCTTTTTCCTCAATGGTCCACGAATCTCACTGTACTTATCATCTTCTCCCCTCCTTCATGTACAAGCAATCTCCTTCCTTACATTCAAACAAGTCCCGCCGTAGCTACACTTCTTTGCCTCACTTGATTTCGGCCTCTTTAGATCGATCTGAGTGAATTCTATAGCTTTACACCCAACCAAGTCAAAAAGACCTTGCATGCATCTTTCAAATACAGTAATACAGTACAGTCGATTTTTTATTTTTTGTGTCTCTGAGATCCCAATAATGCCTGCTATTTATATCTCACACTTGCATAACATATTCACATACCTTCGCTTCTCCTATTGCTCCCCTCGCTGTTGCTTAGAAGATGGAGAACATGTAGGTCGTTTGTCGCTTTGTTACATGCAAATGAAATGCGAGATGCGCTTTTGTTTTTCCCATTTCTTCCTTTCTCGGCGTTCTTTGTGAGTAATGAAATATCATCAAACTTGTTTGAATGTCATCATGCACAGTTCAGTAAGGGGCATTCTATCGTCATTGATACGATGTGTTGCCTTTGTTTATGTATGATTTTAAACGGAAAAACGGAAAAAAACCAACTTTTCGGACGGAAGGACCTTTTAATTAGACGAAGTTAAACCTGAGGGACTAGTTAGATATTTGCGCAAAATTTGGGATTAGTTGGTTAATTATGTAAAATCTGAGGGATTAAATAATAATTTTTCCATAAAAGAAATGAGAAGATGGTCTGAATTGATAATGAAAATCACTTTTATCATTGTGACAATATTACTTACTTAGTGTATCAGAGAAATGAATATATGCACATACATATAAATTCTTGAAACTCTGAAAAGTGACCCAAACAGAAATATAGTTCTAGTTTTTTTTTTTTTCCAATTTTCTAAACAATATTTTCTTTTAATCAAACAATTTAGGATATAAAAGAAAAAATATTAAGAAAATTAAAAATGTTTAACCGTCAATAGGTCATCTATCTATTGTAAGGGTGATCTAAATCTCTTATTAAATTAAAATGATAATAATTACAAATTATTCAGTAACAAAAAAGAAAATAAAAGATTATTATTGAGAATAAAACTCTTTCAAAACTCACCTAACAAAAAAGTATATTTTAATATATATAGATATATAAATATATCAATAAAATATTATATTTTTTTAAATTAAAATTTTAATTGTTTACCATTACCATCCTGTGTTTAATAATATAAATTCCTATTTGAAAAATTTACTTGGTAATTCTATTTGAAAATTTACTTGTTACAAATTATATGCAATCAAATATGACAAACTATAAAGAACAAAAATATTAATAAAAATAATATACTTTTTTTCTTGTTTTTTTTATCTCTCTCATAAAGCTATTATCACAATGTTAGAAGAAATCAGAGTTGAGGTGATGAAGAGAATCCTGAAAAAAAGGAGTTCAACAACTTGGATTAGAGATATTTCACCAAGAGCAATGGAGAAACTAGAAAAGAACGAGGCAATGTCCTTTGATTGGTACATTGATCCAAGTGGGGATGATGGATATGAGGTTTGCAACATTTATAATGTTGTGAACAGACACTGTGTGCACATATCCAAGCAAACCTATGCAAGTAGAGGCTGGGACTTGACTAGAATCCCCTGTACACATGCCATATGTGCAATGTGCTCAGAAGATATGGAACTAAAAGCATACATTTATGAGTGGTATCACAAGGAAACTTATCTGAAAGCATACCAATACTCAATGCAGCCTGTTAGAGGTAGAGTTTTTTGGCCATAATCAGTGAATGAGGTGATTGATCCAATGAAATAAAGGTGAAACCTGGAAGAGGAAGACTGCTAGGAGAAAGGGGATTGAGGAGACTAAAAAAGTTAGATATAAAGTTAGTAGGGTTGGCATGGTAATGCAGTCTACATCATGTGGTGGTAAAGGACACAATGTTAGAGGATGCCCTAAGAAGAAAGAACAACCAGATGTAATGTTATGTGAAAACTATAGGTCTAAATTTACATTTCTTGACTTCATTCTAATATGATCTGATTCTTTGTGTAATCTGCCTCAAGCTCAAACCCTAAAGGAAAGCAAAAGAAACCACTCTCAAATATTGAAAAAAAGAGATGCAGGAGTGCCTCAACTGCCACAGTTGATTTAGGGACACCATACCAATTGGCATCACTGAACCTTTGGATAGGGTACCACAAGTGAGAGGAAGTTCAACAAACATGGATGAATCTAGAATTGCACGTGAAATTTTTGACATGTAGAGAGCCTCAGAGAGTCTAAATCAAAGAATTGTTCAAGAAAGATCTGAAAACTTGAGGAATCACATTAGTGTTGGAAGATCAAACTTGGTGTACACTGTAGGCATTGGCATCCTTAATTTAACATTTTCATGTATTGTTGGAATTTTTTTTGCATTTGTGTCATGTCATTTGGCTGATTTATTTGACTGGATGCAAGCAATGACTGCAGCAGCGGTTGTTGGATACAAAAGAAAGCATATGATGTGGAGAGGAAGGCATGCGGTTACATCTTCTCAAGTGCAAATGCTGAGAGAAATAAGAGCATCACAAACCAGGCATGGCAAAGACAAGAACAGGAACTTCAGAGCAACTCAGTGATAATGTCTATTTTGTCTATGACTTTAAGACTATATTTCTTGTTATTTTGTACTGACTCTAGCAGTATTTTGGAATGAAATATTGAAATTTCATGTTACTGTCTTTTTTCATTTTCTGTCACACTTTTGATATTTCTAAGGTGTCATATTTCACATATTTGGCATTAAAATCCATTAAGTGGCATTAGGTGTCATATTTGGCATTTAAAATCCATTAAATGGCATTTAAAATCTATTAATAAATATTTTCAAACTAGAAATTCATTAATAAACCAAAAGTGGCAGTAGGCGATACAAATTGCTAGAAGTGGCTTATAAACAAATAGTTGCCCTAATATTGCAAAAACAACCAAAAAACACCAATAATTAAGGCAACATCCAAAGGCAAGGCAACTAGAATCCACAACATCTACCCAAGTGTCCACAACACCTATAAAATTTCCACCAATACATGAGACAACCCATAGCAACAAAGCACACTGGGAGTATGACTTCTTTATACTGGAGAGAATCAATTAATATATTTGACTTGTTATGATTTTTTTGGCTTTTCGGCCAAAGTATTTTATTGCACATGATTAATTGATTGTTTATTAAAACAGAAAAAAAATATATGTTCTCCATATTTTCTTCATCCCTCTCTCTAAATGGGTGAGTCTAAATGAGATCAAATCCCTTCTCGCCATTATCAAATTTGTTCCAAAGACTCTATCCAAGATTGGGTCTTTCGCTTTAATTTCATAATATTATCCAAGATGCTCTGAACTACCAGCAGATGCCTTTCTAATTTTCGGCTTCATCGGCTATTGGGTTTTTTTGATTGCGTTTCTTATCGTAGTTATACCAGTACACACGCCAGAGGTAAAAGCAAATCTTATTCATTCGATAATATTGATGATGCTTTGGCTTCTTTCCATTTGATGCTTCGTAGTAATCCTTCACCGCCTGTTTTGGAATTTAATAAATTATTATCTGCACTTGTTCGAATGAAACATTATGCGACTGTGATTTTGTTTTGGAATTTAATAAATTATTATCTGCACTTGTTCGAATGAAACATTATGCGACTGTGATTTTTCTTTACAAGCAGGTGGAATTGTATAGAATTTCTCTCGATGTTTATTCTATTAGTATTTTGACTAATTGCTTTTGCCATCTGAACCGCGTGGATTTTGGATTCTCTCTTATTGGGAAAATCTTCAAACTTGGCTTTCAGCCTCACATTATAACGCTTACTACGTTAATCCATGGGCTTTGTAGAGAGGATAAATTTGATGAAGCTGTGGAATTATTTGATGAAATCGTTGCAAAAGGGTATAAACATGATATTTATACCTATACTGTCATTGTGAACGGTCTGTGTAAAATTGGGAAAACCAATGTGGCCTTTGGTATTCTGAGAAGAATGCTCGAGGAAGGTTGTGAACCTAATGTGGTGTCATATAATGCTATCATTGACAATATAATGCCTATCATTGACAGCCTTTGTAAGGATAGACAGCCTTTGTAAGGATAGATTGGTGACTGAGGCATTAGAGCTCTTCTTGAAAATGAAGATTGAAGGCATCTCTCCGAGCATTGTGACCTACAACTCTTTAATCCATGGTCTGTGTATATCAAGTCGATTGAAGGAAGCTTTTTTGCTGCTTAACAAAATGTTGAAAGCCAACATCACGCCAGATCTAATTACCTTCAATATATTGGTTGATGGTCTTTGTAAGTGTGGAAGCGTTTCAAAGGCTTGTGGTATAGTCAAATTGATGATGCAAAGAGGAATAAAGCCTAATGTTGTCACTTACAGCTCTTTAATCTATGGTCTGTGCAATTCAGGCCGATGGGAAGAAGCTTCTATGCAGCTCAATGAAATGTTGGAAGCGAACATCGTACCAAATTTAATTACCTTCAACATATTGGTTGATGGACTTTGTAAGTTGATGGACTTTGTAAGGAAGGAAGGGTTTCCAAAGCTCATGGCATAGTCAAATGGATGATTCAAAGAGGAATAAAGCCTGATGTTGTGACATATAACTCTTTGATGGATGAAATTGTCTACTCAACCAAACGGATCAAGCTAGAGAAATTTTTGACATGATGCTAAGCAAGGGTTATATGCCTGATGTTGTTACCTACAGTATCTTGATTGACTGTTACTGTAGGAGAAAAAGGATAGATGAGGCGATGAGGCTTTTTGATGAAATGCCTAGGAAAGGCTTGATTCCAGACCATTTCACATCTTTTTGATGAAATGCCTAGGAAAGGCTTGATTCCAGACCATTTCACATATAATTCTCTTATAGGTGGCTTGTGTAAAGCAAAGAGCCCTCATGCTGCATATAAGTTTTTCAAGAACTTGTGTGCTAGTGGCCATTCTCCAGATGTGGTAACTTACAACATTTTGATAGATGGCTTCTGTAAGCATAGGTGTCTAGATGTGGCATTGTCCCTATTTCATGAAATGCAGAAAAACTCATTGAAGCCTGATATTATTGTCTATAATATCCTAATTGATGGTATGTTCAAAGCTGGAAAAGTTAAAGAAGCAAAGGAATTGTTTTCTAGATTTTCCATAGAAGGGTTGCGGCCTGATATTTACACATACAATATAATGATCAATGGACTTTGTAAAGAAGGATTGCTAGATAAAGCATTCAAGGTGTTCAGGAAAATGGAAGGGAATAGTTGCTCACCAAATAGTTGCTCGCCAAATAGTTGCTCTTATAACGTGATTATCCAAGGATGTCTCCGGTGCAATGACTCGTCCATGGCAAACCAACTTATTGATGAAATGGTTGGCAAGCGGTTCTCCGCCGATGCCACCACCATGCAGTTGGTAATGAATTTAGCTTCGAACAAGCCTGATGATCCTCTTGTGAAAAAGTTGCTAAGCTGCTCTAAACATTCTCAAGGTGCAAACTTGAAGTGAGATTTTAGGATAGAACAACTGTTATACTGTTGCAGGAGGTTTTTGTCATATGTCCAGTTATGCCACTGCAATTTGTCTCGAAAACATGTTCTATTTTCTGCAATTCAATCTTTAAACGATGATTCAATTCAGTATTTTCTGCAATTCAATATTTGTATCAGACTCCTGCATATTGCCTTAGCAATAGTATCTATTTACAATTGCTTCATTGGATACACATATAATACAATTCTTCCTATCTTAGTTATAGAAGATTAGTTCATAATTACATGTCTAGTGTTTATGCATACTTAAAGAAAACTGAAGTAATATAGAAAACATATTCATTGCTTGGAAAAGTAAAGATGAACTTGTGTTTGCAAAATATTCGTTTCATGCATGTGCTCTGTTTTATGTTGATTAGTATTTTAGTTGGTAAAATTATACTTAGCGATGGAGTTGCATAACCTTCTGCTTTGAAATCATATATTAAACAAGCTCAAAAACTGGGCCTTGGTTTGCAAAATGGTTGATAAATGAGTGGCTCTTCAGTATGACTAGAAAGTGTCTGATACAACTTCAGCCACTGGTTCTTTATACAAGGTTTTATTGTCTACTCAACCACAGTTATTTCACTGCTGAAACCCAAGAATGTCTTCCATTACAAGTGGATTTGGTACCTCTTCTATCCAGATTTGCTCTTCTATCTCAAGAGAAAGAGCTAATCTTGCTAATGAATGAGCTACTTTATTATCTTCCCTAACTACATGTGAAATTAAAATGGAGTCACGCTGATTCAAGAGCATGCAACAGTTTAGAATTCGAATCCCCAAATCTGACCTTGACACTGTTCAAATCCGTAAGCTGAATACCAAGGATTGACAATCTGATTCTACCTCAATAACTCTGAGTCCCAGCTCTAAGGGCTTTGAGACTTCTACCTCAATAACTCTGAATCGCAGCTCTAAGGCCTTTGAGACAGCAAAAGAGACGGCCTCTATTTCGGCTTCTTCCAGCGAAAGCACATGAGAACACTTGTGAGAGCCACTGGCCATTATGTCACCATTTGAGTTTCTTATAACCATTCCATAGCCAATTCTCCCATCAGCGCCAAGCGCAGCATCACAATTCACTTTAAAAATACCTTCTGCTGGTGGTTTCCATCGAACATTCTTGCCAACAGTGCTGCTAACCAATTGGCCCTGCTGTTGTCCAGGTAATCAGGCCATAGAGAGCTTGTCCCACCACCTGCACTTCACTGAGCTTCTTTTGTTGGTGCAGTAGCACGTTCCTTCCCCTCCAATACTGCGAATCTCCATAGCTTCATGAGGCTCGAAAATAAACTCAATAAGGGTAATATCCCAGTAACTCGTTTCAAACATAGTAGGGGTTGAATGAACACGAAATTCCGATTGTCTCGTGTCTAGTGTTTTTGCATACTTAAAGAAAACTCAGTAATAAAGAAAACATACTCTATTGCTTGACAGTCAGGTGATCCTTTTCAACGCTCATTCTTCATGAATTCAGGTCTACCAAACACCACTGCTCTGTTTTATGTTGATTAGTGCTTTGGTTGTTAAAATTATACTTAGTGATTGAGTTGCATAACCTTCTGCTCCGAAATCGACATTGAACAAGCATAAAAACTGGGCCTTGGTTTGCGAAATGGTTGACAAATTAAGTGGCTATTCAATTGATTATAAAGTGTTCGATGATATGTCTGATACAACTTCAGTCACTTGTTCTTCATACAATGTTTTATTTTTGGGTTGGAAAAGGCTTACCATTTTCCAATGGCTGCCAAGAAATTTTTGTTATGGCTATGTAAAATTTGATTTTGATTTGGTACAATTTTACTATTTTTGAATTAATAATATTTCGTAAGTAAATATTCATATTAAATATTATTGTCTCTTTTCAGTATTCTATTAGATTTAATATGTTTGAAAGTGATATTTAGTGGAATGTTTAATATAATATTTTATTTTATTTGATCAATAAATAAATAACTAGGAAGGGAAGAGAGGAGAATATTGGGTTAAAAAAAAAAAAAAAGATCAATAAATAAAATAACTTAGGGAAGGGAAGAGAGGAGGAATATTGGCGTTAAAAAAAAAAAAAACAAAAAGATAATGGTTAAAACTATAATCAATGATAAATTACCTTCTATATTGATTGCTTAAAAATAAATAAAATATTATTTATTTATGAAAAATCTTTTGAATTTTTTTCCATTGCTATTTTTTTCATCTTTATGTTACAAAAAAAAAAAAAAAAAAAAAAAAAAAAAAAAAAAAAAAAGAAAGCTTTACTAATCAAAGGTACATTTAATTTTATACGTGGTTTATGATTGATATTTATGTTACTTTAAATTTAAAACAACATTAACAATTTAATTACAATTTATGATATTTATGTTATTCTGTAGCTACTGTAATTTTATGTTATTTTAAGTTTAAAATCAAATTAATCAATTTAATTGCATATTGCGTAGCCACTTTGATTAGGAAGTTTAAGAAAATTAGAAATTTTATTATATTTACTTCTTCATTGTCGTAGTGTTTACAAATTTTTATACACTTAAAAAATAGTATATTAGAAAATTTAATTAGTATAGAAATATTTAATTTTCCAACCAATAAAATTAAGGTCTTAAATAACAATTTTCTATTTAGAATTAGATTAAGCTTAATAGAAAATTAATATAACCAATCAAAATTAAACTAGAGTCAAAATTAAACTGATCTGCATTGTTTCAACCAATGAATTAAACGTCCCGTATAATATTTTGAATAAATTTATCAAAGCTTAAGCGAGAGCGTTTATAGGAACCCAATGTTTCCCTCTAATTCGTTATTTTTAGATATATTATAGATTTTCATCACTAAATATTCATTTAAATTAACTTTATATTAATGAGAAAATAAGCTAAAATTTTAACTTAAATGTGAATTCAATAACTAGTCCATATATTTAGAATATTATAGTAATAACTAGTCCATTACAATTGATTTGGGCAACAAATAATAATTCTCTGATCTTCGCGGTATACTTGAATTTTAAAAATTACCTTTTGGTTCTTGGGCTATAGATTTGGCACATTAGTGGATGAGGAGGTGGATGTTGAGTTGGCCTACCGCCGGGTATGCAATCTAAGTTAACGATTAATGGGGGCGATAAGACCCAAAGGAAGTTTTTGCGTTTTACTAGAGCTTGGCATTGATCGTTAAGATCTTATACATGCAAATCAAGATTGAAAATCTCTAACCAAGTAAGTTAAAATATCATATTTTTACATTTAGTAATAAACCCTCACAATAGAAGGACAAAAGAACTCTAAATATAGCCACAAATAAAAAATAACAACAAAAAAAAAAAAAAAAAGACAAATCTATTTTATAAGAAAAACAGACTTTGAGTTTATTAAAGTTGAATAAAAGATTAAGAACTAAAAAAGATTAAAAGTAAAAGAAAATGAAGCAAAGGAAGAGTAGAAGTGAAACGATCCGGAAAAATCTTTTTCAAAAAATTTTGCATTTGAAAATTTAATTGTAAATTTAATCAATTGAAATTTAGCAAAAAATATTTATTAGTACTAAACCAGACCTTGTAAACCAGTTTTTTGAATTTTTGGGGAAAAACCAGGTGAAAAACTAGAACCAATCAAAATCTGAATCAAATCACAAATGGAGAAATCAGCCCGTCTCTCATGCCAAATGGAGCCCTGTAGCGATGCAAATCGGAGCTATCTCCTTCGACAGCCTTTCTCTTCTGGATCTTCAGGCGAGTCCTCGCCGTTTCCAACCATCGGATGCACACTGAAGAGTGGTGTGATCAATTCTTTGTTTTGCCATGCGAGCGTTTCGCCTCTATCAAATGGAGTTTGCCGATTGGTAAATGGTGAAGCCACCCTTGGTCGGTTGGCCTTTGAAGCTGCTGTTAAGGCCGATTTCTCCCGGCCATTTGAGCTACGATCGCGCAAATCAACTTGAGACCAGAGATCCCCTGGCGATGCGAAGTAGGATAGTGTGAAAAATGCTTTCCATGAAGTCGATTTTCTGGCCACTGTCTGTGGCGGTTCTAACGGCAAGTGTCGCAGGACTCGATAAGGTTTCCGGTGAAGGCCGAAAGGAACCCTCTCCTCAGGTGTGGTGAACGCGAATGGTTTAGCTAAAAATTAAAAAGGAATGGTTTGTTGCATGATTCTGGGATTGCTTGGATCTTCCCAGCTACCGTTACCATGGGTAGGCCGCAGTACGGCGAAAGGTCCGGCGATTGGCCGGCAAGTCTCCAGCGAACTCCAAGAGAGCATTAATCGTCTTCTTTCCTAGCATGTGGATTTATGGAAACCGTCGTCCCCGAATTGTGCCATTTGAGTTACACTCTTTAAGATCAGTTTCCTAATTTGATACAAATTTCAAATTTAAATTATCAGTTATTAAAGTTTGATTCCTGAATAATGTTAATTGAACATGATTCCCGTTAGAAAATTTTGATAGATTTAAACACACTTAATTCTAAAAAAATTAAGAATATTAGTCGTTTAGAAATAAAATGTTAATAAATCGAAACATTGAAAGATAAGGGAATACTTGAAGTGGCAGAATTTTAATTCTTGCTAGGAAAATAGATGATTTTTAGTCTTTTGGGTATGTTTAGATGTGAGCTGCGATTAGTCCGAGTAGTAGATAGGTAACGGCTCGAGGAATTACAAGAAATTGATTATTTAATAGGTTATATATATTAAATGAACATTTTTAGTCTTTTATAATAAATATTTTGACCTAATTTACGGTATTTATGGTAACCGATTGTTGATTAGTTAATTGGTCTTAAAATTTCTAGAATTTATATAAGTGCATATAATGTTGTTCTATATATTTATCCTGTCGAATAGGAGTCAAGGGATTAATAGTTATTAAATTAATGAGGTAAGTTATTAGCTAGTTAAAACTTAATGATTTGATAGGGGAATATGAATTATTTTTGGCATGCGGAGTATATATGATTATTGTTGGTTTGTATTGTGAGTATGAACTAAAAAATAGTGCTTAATCCGAGGAAATGGCATTAAAGTTAGTTTTTCTATCTTGAGTTTTGATTTAGAACGATAAATAGTTTTTTTTTTTTTGACAATAGTGCTCATATACTATTAAGAGAAGGAACGAGCAAAACAAGCGGAACAATATCCCAAGTTTCGAAAACAAGCCCCACTAGGAATTGATTTAAGCCAAAAAC